CTTCACTCTCGTTCACCGACTAAGGTGAACTTGTAATAGCATTCAAGCATATAAATTGACGAGCATAACAAACTCATTTTCATATTTCAAACTATGTGAATAATAAATAATTTATTTTAATATGCATCCATTTTTCATAATAAACTTATATCACATAGAATTGTTGGTAAGAACACATAAAATTAAGTGGTAAACTGTTTTTAATAGCTGTGAAACTTTTTTCCAGGATCATCTAATTTCGAACTTAAAATTGTCAATTTGAGCAATCAGAATGATAAAATAATTTATCCTGTAAACTTTATCCTTTTTTTAAAAATTATTCTCCATTTAATGTCTTTTTTTATAGTAAAAATAACGATAACAACAGAACCATTTGAATTTTCACATTTTATACTTAACATCATGGATTAATCTTAGTTAAATAATTATGGAAAACTAGAAAGTATTAGATGTCTGCTTCGTTCGAGTATGAGACTTCTCAGCAGCGAACAGCAGGGGAAATCGAACCCAGGACCGTCAAGTCTACTAGCGACAGCTTAAGATATGCTTAACTGTAATAAATTTTCCATAATACGCGATCAGCTTCTAGTATTATTCCTCCACACTTGCTATGACTGAGCTTCATTCGCTAAGGCTTCACATTTCCTGGAAATTCTCGCGGTTATGAATAAAGTGACTTTGAAAGTTTAATTTTCCCTGTTTTTTTTTAAAAAGTTTTCTTTCTAATTGATTTGTTTACAAACAAAACTTGAAAAAAAACCGATAGTGAATGAATCCCATCAAAGAAAGCGTTAATGTACAGCGTGCTTTTGTTTTAATGGATTCACACCAACGCCCCATTATTATTATTATTATTATTATTATTATTATTATTATTATTATTATTATTATTATTAGGAACCAACTAGTCGATTAACTGGTCATCAAAATGAAAAGTTATATAATCAATTTTGAGCCATTTACAAAAAATAAGCCTATAATAATAATAACCAAGGTGACTGATGAAGTAGAATCAAATATGACTAGACATTAATGTTTGGCTAACTAATTGACTTTTAGTCATCCATTTCGATGATATTTTTCTTGTCCAATGATAGTTAACTTGAATTATCTATTTTAGATGATAAATCTCACTGACTGGTCTCTGATAGAATGTCGTTAAAAAAAAACAAGAAGTTTTATGAAGTTGCTTCTTCTTAGTATGAAACGACTGAACAATCAGTCAGTCAATCAACGGCAACGTAGAACTTTGTACGTACGTACAACAGTTCAAGTTGCCATATCACATGAGCACAGAGATGTAATTGTCAATTCAAATCCCATAGTAATCGAGGTAGTAAAAGTATTAGCAGTAATCGGAGAGATAAGGGTTCGACGATATTATTGAAGAAGTAGAATCTAGTGGAATAAACTTAAAAAGAAAAAGATAAAGGTGACGAGGAACTCTGAAGGTTAGGATTTGAGAGAACACAATGAATGAATGCACCTGCGCCATTGCAGACGATTTCGAGCCATGTCATTCAGGGTCTCTAACCATCGACTACTATCATCTCGCGGGCCCCAGCCAGTCTGCACTTACAAACGACTCAACAATGATCATCCGATAATGAAACCCATGTATTTCAGGTCTCATGGTGAGCGGTCAACTGTATGACTACTGTGATGGCATCCAATAAAACATATTTCCAACTTCAGTCAATTTACAATATAACATAATTATCATTGACGAAAACTATTTGACGCTCAATATAACTAAACTCCCGCAGTAACAACTTTCTACTAGAACTTCATAAACTCACCTCAAATTAAGTTAGAACCGTTCACTTGTCCCTCGTTTTCGATAGTACTCCAACTAATGTATGCCACTCAATAAAGTTTATGGTTCATAATATGACCTAGTAATTCCCAAAATACGTAGCATTTCATATACTTAGTTCTTTCCAAAAATGTTTTTCACAAACTGTAAATTTATAATATTTTTTAGAATACTATGAACGTCTGGTATTTGATTACCTTCTTTTCGCTCACATAATTTTAATATGACTATGATTTTGCCCTTTGAATAATTTGCTACCTACCATTAGACAATGTAATTCTGAATTTCTAAATATGTTAACATTTCAAACTGATCTAGTAGTAATAATCTATCCTGAAACTGCGAAACAAGAATTCACAGTTGATTCTGCGAGTATTATCATTTTTGATTGATCTTTGAATATATAGGATTGTTGATACGAAGGTGTGGAGGCAGATAAATCACTGCAAACCTGGAAGCTTTGCTATTCCAGTATGATACTTCTTAGAAGTAAGCATCTATTTTCTCACAATCAGGGATCCAACTCAGAACCCTCAGTCTCACAAGCGAACGCATAATTTCTAAATCATACACGTGGGAGTTAGTGGTGTACAAGTCTAATTTTCATCAATCCACGATAATGAGAAACCATCTTTCATGTTCTCAGGTAGACACCTACCCCAAATCCGAAATCCACTAGTCGCGTGTGAGGAAATGGAAAAGGGAATGACTGAATTTAGACTTGTATACTATTTGATCCGGGCTCAACGGTCTGTAGGTAGAATTATTGATACTCTTTTCAAAACCACCATAGTAATCATTATATTCAGACTTTAAAATAACACTTTTAAGTAAATGAAAATCATATAGTTTCATTTTCCGGCTCTTTTCATTAAAACAATCGTTGACAATTCATAATGGAATGCTGTGATGAATCCCTTCTCTTTTAAAACATTTACTATGATGAGATGGAATGTTTTTCATGATCAAATAACTGATTTGCAGACTTTTTTTTCCTGGGATGACTACCGTAATTAAATGCTGACCTACAAATGTGTATGAAGTCATCCACTAGTTGTTAAAAGGAGTACAAATAGTGATTATATTATGTATTAAGTAAACTAAGCTTCAATTTCTTTACTTGAAATTTTCAATAGTTTAACTATGAATCGTCGCTACAAGAAGATTGAAAATATTTCACTTTACAAATTTTATTCTATTCACTGTATTACATTCTCACTGTTATGAAAGCTGTTACATCTTTCATAATGAATTAACTTTTCACTTCATTTTCTCTCATCATAACTCTTTTTTCTATTAGAATTTAAATGTATAAAAAAGATAATTAGTGTTTAGTCATAAATACTTTGTAGTAGAATCGTTCCACTTTAAAGTAAATTTCATTAATCTTGTATTCATTTTCAACCATTATTGTAGTAGACTGAACAAAATTTATTATTACAGTATTGATACTGAAATCACCTATATTTATCTATCTTATCAGTACAGTGGTTCGTTGGGATTACAAAATGTTACTGATATCACGAACCAGCCTAATTTGGACATCTAAAGTATGAAACAGCTATTTTGTTCTAGTATCGTTCACTGCGAGATTGAAATTCTCAGGTTCAGTGCTTGATATAGCCATAGATGCACACTGCTGCGGAGTCCCATTCTTGGACGAAATAGCTACCTGATGATTTCCGGCTCTCAGTAGATGTCTAACTTAGACCGCTTTGTGATAGCAGTAGTGTTTTTCTGTTTATGAACATATTAGATAGATTAGTTTGTGGATAATATTAATTTTTATGGAAGAAGATTAATGGGAGGGTTTCATAGATAATAAAAACGGTTAAAAAAGTGATATGGCTAGCAAAAAATATCAAAAATCTTACAGTAATGAAAATTTGAATGCGTATTTGAATTACGACACTTAACTAACACACTTTACAATAAAATTCGCTTGGAAGTTCCGACGAAATAAAATTTAATGTTGTTAAATTTCTTAGAGTGGAATTTCCTCCTTAAAATCTAACTTCGAGGATTAATTTCAGGATTCTTAGAGATAAACTGTAACAGTGGAGTTCAACTATGTAGAAACTCTGCCTGTAGACCCTTCGGGGCTACTGCCAGTCTCAAGCCTGGATAAAGGAGGAGAGTTGAGATGTGGGCTGCCGACCCCATCCCGGAAAAAACTAGCTTGCCGAAAAAGCGCTAACAACTATGTAGAACATGAGGTGAATATCATCAATGGAAGTTCCGCAATATTTCGAATGGACTGAAGTTGGAAACGTAAACTGTTGGATGTCAGCTCAGTGGTCTGAAGGTTAAACACAAGTTGTGAGATGTGGAAGTGATAACTTCCGTTCCTGATGAGATAAGAGATACACACTAACCAACAGTCCTTTACTAGGATAAAATAACTGTCCAGTTCTTCCTCGTTTTAATTAGTTATCCAAGTCTCAAGTCTCTCTGTACGGTGAACCTTTTAAATGTGAATGCTAGTAAATCTGCTCTTTAATATCACTAATCAGTAATTTGTTTATTATTTTCGAAATGATTTCAGTCAGATTTTAAACGAAACTCCAGTAATATTAACATTTTAAAAGTAGAACTTAATGACCATCAATAAATTGTTATGGGAATCTGGTATACGCAGTGGAACAATATGAACATTCATTCGGCACCGACATCTAAAAATGATGAAGGAATGTCATAGTTGAAGATAATCGAACATAAGATGGAAGAAACCTTGGTCAAAAAATTTGTGTCCAGAATTAAGTAAATTTAAAAACTAATTTAACCGTCAACTAGAATCAAGTTGGAAGTTAGTAAAAGTTAACGAAGCATTAGACACCTGTTTCACCCCTATTAAAGAATCTTTAACAATGAATACCCATGATCAACAGTGTTCGTGGTGACTAATGAGCCTGAATTCATTGGGCCACATCTCAAAATTCAGTCAATCCAAATAATTATAGAACAAAAATTTCATCACGCTAATGGTCAAATTACCTTCACTTGCAAGCACAAGTGAACTAATCCAGTCACCAGTTGTATCTTAAGCTTTTCAACCTCTTTCTAAAGTGGTCGTAGTAAAGACTCAAGATATCAAAAATGTCTCGCTTTTCAATGATTCCGAAGTTGAGATTATAAAATGAACCTACCACAATTATTTAAATCTTATTTTCTTTCAAATTTTTAGGTTGGATGTATGTGTGAAGTACTGATCAAGTCAAATCAAATTGTATCCCTTCGTCATCTGTTAAATAGAATACCAAAAATATGGTTAATACCTGAGAAAAATTTCACATCGCATTATTATCAACAATCTATCAAGCAATCGGAAATGTTAACAACTGAAAAATTATTTGAATCACGTGAATTAATTCTCATAGCTTTAGCAATGATATCTTATGAAGATGGAAATTATACATTAGTTTATCAATTATTAGAATATAATCATTTTAATGAAAGACATCAATCAATACTTCAACAATTATGGTATAAAACACATTATGCCGAAGTACAAAAGTCACGTGACCGACCATTAACAGCTGTTGATAAATATCGTATACGTAGAAAATATCCTTTACCTGAAACAATATGGGATGGTGAAGAGACAGTATATTGTTTTAAACAAAATGTTCGACGTACATTAACTGAGCATTATCAACAAAATAAATATCCGAATTCTGAAGAGAAATATAAAATTTCTCTAAAGACTGGATTAACTTTTACTCAGGTATTATACTGCAATCTTTTTTTTTTTGTGTATCGCAGTTTATAAATCGTAAAAAAATGCTCACCAGTGACTAGCTTTGTGAGGAAATTCTCGGAGTTCTAGTGAGAAGATGTGATCAGTGGAGTTCAGTCATGTCAGGTGTAGGCAGTAACTACCACAGACAAATGGGTGAGGTTGTGCAAAATTTGTAGATTGATCAGAGTTAGACATTAACACCGTCGGATGCCGGCCCAGTGGTCCGGAGTTTAGGCTTTCGCGCGCAAGACCGAAGGTTCTGGGTTCGAATCCTGCGAGGTGCAGGAGTCGTGGATGCGGTTGGTGCATTATAAACTCTTCATCTATAGTCATACTTTTCTTTCCTGGCTTCAGAAAATACCAGTTTTTTTTCCATGATACTGTAGTAAATGAACCGTCGTACTTGTACTTATAGTATGTGGCCGTGCCACTATTTTACAAAGTCATTAGAAAAAGAAATTTAAGATGATAGTTTTTATTTTAAACTGCTTTATAGTAGTATACAATCACATAAGAGTAATGGTTCAGTGGTTCGAATTCTACACAATTTTCTGTTATGGACAAGTTCGGTATAAACTCAATCAGATTTGACAGACAAAAAACTCAAATTATGATGAAAGTTAATAATTAAAAGCAAGTCTCATCTACGGTATTCGTGTAGCAAATAAACACAGAAACTGTCGACAGTGTTAGATATGATCCTTAGTGAACCTAGGTCATATTTTCGAAATCATTGTGTTAACGTCTATAAATGTAAATAAGTTTTTCTTCGAATATTATTTTTCCACCCACACAAATTATAACTAGAATACACCTTAGTCAGCTCTTCGACAAAGATAAATATGTTCCTTATGATAAAATTATCTTAATTAAAAGTGTTACAAACACTAACTATTTTTGATCAATCCGATCGATCTCTGAGTTCGAGTGAAAAGTCTTGACCAGTAGAGTTCAACCCTGTTGGGTGTGAAGCAGTACCCACCAGAGACAATGGATAAGGTTGCGCAAGACTGAGGATTGATCGCAGTTAGATAGTAACACCACTGAATGCCGGCTCAGTGGCGTAGAGGTTAAGCGTTCATACACTAGAATGAAGGTCCCAGGTTCGATTCCCGTGAGCAGGAGTCGTGGATGCCCACTGATGATGAGTCTTATACAAGGACGAAACGGACATACAAGTACCCTCAGGTTTCTCGTGGTGGTCTAAAAATGGTCGACTTATGATTTCAATGAAACTCAACAATCTCCACAACCAAAAAAAACCAACATTTCACTGTTTGACATATAATTACATAGATACATACTTTTCATTATTTGTAAAAATATGAATGGCTATACTGCAGTTTAGACTAATAAAATATTCAAATATTTATCAAAGATAGTTTAAAAATATTCTACAATACGATTGAGTAATAAGGCAATAAAATGTTGATTATTTCAAACAAAATAAATTCTTTTAGTTGACTTTACATAGTGAACATTAAAGTTAGAAAAGAATTTATTTTCTAATTCATGTCAATAAATATATTTTGAACATTGTTATCTTGTTAGATAATGGATTTTTGTTTTTACTTTATATTTTAGGTTAGTAACTGGTTTAAAAATCATAGACAACGTGATAAATCTTTAGAATTAACTGATGTACATCCTCAGTTTAAAAATAAAGATCTTCATAACACTGAATTTAATTGTTATCATTCCAGTCAATTCAATAAATTCAGTAGCAATAACAATACATTAATTAAACAACATGAACAAAGCATAACAAGTGAATTTTCAATTGAAACATATCGAACATGTAACAGTTATCTAGCACCTTTTCAATCATTCAGTACTGAACACACACTGCCTGCTAACAACAATATAGATAAGAATCTTCTAAACTCTTCTCTAGAAAATAAAAGAAATTCAGATTATGATCTAACAACCATTTCCTATCCAATATCCTCATCATCATGTAAAAATCCAAATACAATATGGCTTCCACAATGGACAATTGATCAATTTAACATTGAACACAATAAATATAACTTTGAAAGAAATTATTATATGAATAGTTTTGATTACAATCAGTATTATCCGTATTTTACATGATAATTAAGTGAATAACAAATTATAAGCATTTAAATGAAATAAAGAAATTAATAAATAAATTGATTTCAAAGTAAAACGAATTCAATCTTCAATTATATGTTTTCATTGTACATTCAAACTATTCGAATAAAATTGATTTGTTGCATTTTGTTACATTCTCTTCAATTACATAAATGCTCATATGTATAATTATTTCCAATTGATAACATAAGAGTATTAAAAAATTTCATAACTTTTGCTTTATTGCTTATAAATATGAGTTGGTAAAAATGCTTTAGTACAAATTAATAAAAGTTTGAGTAAGAGTTTAGTATAATAAATAATTGTCTGCCACAGAATAGATACTCTCAGTCTATCATATATATATATATATATATATATATATATATATATATATAGCACTGAATACTCAAGCAAGATGACAGAATATAAACTTGAAAAAAGAATATTTCCTTCAGATGACTAATCTAATATAATCAGATAATAGATAAAATTACTGAAATACTGAGAAAAGGCTTTAAAAAGCATGTTTCTTACTGCAAAGCTGTGTACATTCTATTCAGCATTATGCTCAATATATAACACAAACAAAAGTGTATAAGTGTATTTGTATCTCACCTCCAAATGTATATATGTAAATTTACATTTACATGAAAAACCATATGCATTGGAGGAATCGGAAAATTAACTTCTATTCAATGTCATGAGAATAGTCTAAAAAAACCCTGTCGATACAAGAAGAAAACTGCTTACAGATTTTTATAGAATCGTATCTACTTGAAACAAGATATACTTAACCAAATCATATCATAGAATCAGAAAGTACATTTATACAAAATTGTATATGAATAGAGGAGTCTATGAATAATGAACTGGCGAAAGATTAGGAATTGTAAATCACTTGAAATTAGTTAGTCATGCAGTCAAGAGTTTGTAAAAAAAAGTTATCTCATAATTTTACACTGAGGATTTATATATTAATAATCCGTGAGTTAATTCTAGGAGTTACCACTTCACTAATTTTCCTCCGAATGTAACAAGTAGTCATGAGTTATTTCAATCATACTTACGTGACATGTCAACATAAATAAAAGTATAACTCTATCCATGCTACTGATAGTTTATCATTTCATTCTGACCTAAATTAGAAAAATCGTGATGTGGATGTACAGAAAAAAACTTTACTGTACACGAATACCTACTAATAAGTAGTCAACTTAAGTTTAACTAAATTTATGAAATAAATTATAAATTTTTAATATTTTAGATGTTTAATTCATTCGAATTATTCATGAATAATCTTTTAAAAAATACAACTTAACATAAGACTATGATATAAATGATATAAAAGCGTTGATGATGTCATTCACAAATGGTACAGTTACAATTGACATAAAAAACAACTAAATATTTTGTTACAACATTTCTACAATTATAAATTCACAATGTTCTGATATGAATAAATTTGATTTTTTTTTTACTTTCTTCAAGTTTATACATAGAAAAAAGTGATATGAAAAATTACAAAAGGAGTTGTTAAGTGTTGCAGGATGCAAATGAATGAATGATTTTTTAAAAAAAAATAAAATATCTATTCTTTCTGTATAATTCTAGGCATGCGATTCAGTCGCGATTGTCATTAATTAGACCATGAATTTTGCTATATAAGAAATTATTTAAATTTTATCGGCAAAATTATGTAATAATTCCTTGTTATCATTGAATGCCCAAGTGTGAACTTGACCTACCTAATTCTGTCCACTAAATAGCTGGCGAACACAAACTACAGATTTTTCATCTATTGATCACTGCATAGTAATCAGTGGTGTATTTTCCCAGTCTTTGAATGGAGAATGCTCATCAGTTTAAGTGTCTCATTATTTCATGAAACATGGTGAAGTGTTTATTGCCTGGATTTATTAGACTAGATTCCCTGACTGTCCTAAGTTTTGTGCTAACTGGAGCTCATTAGCAAGGCACATTTGTAATCTTGAGGGACTAGACACTCCTTATGGCATTTTAATCTGTTTAAATCAGCTTCACATTTTCATATTTTATTGTCACACTATTAGGCAGACAAGTGACCTGCTCCTTCAACAAGCGAGTGCCATTTAATACGCGACCTACTTCTGGAACTCTGTGGTGGCTATCTCTAAAGAATAATATATTTATTATTTTCGTCCGGACTGACTAATATAATTAGAACTATGTAACCCATTTATCAAGTAGACGTTGATCTGGATGGAATTGAATGAGAACTAGTGAAACTGTTGACTATTGCAAATTATAGTAAGTCAAGAGACATCTACATCTCTAATCAAACTATCAAACAATTCCAACAATATCGAACAAGTATTCAATACTCTTGAAACGAATATCACTTGAATATTGGATAATGTAACCCAGTTTTTACCAGCAATTTCCTGTTACCAATAAGATTATGGCACAAAGTATAATTTCAGGTTGCACAAAATACTATTTAATAAAATATATAAACTAGTGTGAAAAGTAATCTACCTGATTACAGAAAATGTTAAATGAAGAATTCGATTCTGCATAACAATTATGTATCATGTGTTACTGATATGTCCGTCACTAGGTACGCTTGAAGCTATTACGAGTTCACCTTAGTCGATAAACGCAAATGAGACAATTACCAGCGTCCCAAAACTGCAAAAGAGAAGTCTTGATAAGCGTAGAAGTATGTTCTACAAACACCCAGGAAGCACAACATCATCAAACACACAACTCTCGCTTATTTATACATAACAGAAATGTCCTTGGGACTGTCACAAACATAGCACACTCAAAATACAAAGAAGCCAATCACAGCCAAGGATTTTCCTGGTGGGAAATGAAATCTCAATATCAATTGATCAACCTATGCTCGCAAACGTGAAATCCAAAATAAGGCATTTATCCAGCGAGTTCTGTGAATCTAACATCACCAACAGTTACGAATAATGTACATCATCACAAATCTGTTTTGTAAGTATATGGATTGTCTATTAGGGAGCATGAGTTCTATTGAGATTACAGCACCGAGTTTTTGTATTTAGCTTTAAGTTACACTATTTTTGTCTATGGGTTAATGAAACTAGCTAGTTGTGTAAACTGAGAAAAAAAGGTTGATCGAAGTTTGAACCTATGACCTAATGGTTACAAGCCGAGTACTGTAATCAATAAGCTAACACGACTGGAATATAAGTTTATGTAATGAAACAAGTATAATGATATATCGTTAATTTCAAATAACCAGCATCTGCACCTGTGTGGTTACTAAGACCCCTTATGTAAAGCTTAGATTGGATATCATATAGAGAAGTGATAATTATATACATAAATATAATGCAAATTATTTCAAAAGTATGCAAATAGATATTCGAATTAACTTTGATCAAATTAAAAAAACTGAGAAAAACAGCTGGTTAATCGGAATTATCACACTTTAAAATACATTCTATATACAAAAATATATACTCAAATATTCATTCAAATAAACAAATAATTGAGCTTTGCGAAATTCCTCACTTATGGAACCGAAACCAGGTAATAACGCTTATCCTTCTGACGATGACTGTTATCAGAATAGTGATGATGATGATGCTGATCATAATATTAACAATAATGATAGTAGACAAGAAAATGAAAACTTAACTGAATACAACACTGAAACATTAGACATATCTAATCAACAATTAATTTCATACGATTTCGATTATACTACTGATAAATTAATTCAAAAAGATTTCCTAATGGAATATGATGAACTAAATAATATCACAATAAATCATAAATTTAATTTCAGCTCAAAACTTTCAAAATATTCTAAATCTATTCACTGTCAAAATTCCAATCATCATCAACAATGGAATTCTTCTCATTATGAACTAGATACTACTTATGAAGATTTTAATCAAAGTAGTATTCATTTTCACAATGATTTTGATCATGATAATAATTGTAATATAGTTACTAATCATAGTACTTTTAGTGAGTTGATAACTGATGATATTAGTCATATCATTGCATCTATTAAAAGTGAGTGTAAAAACACTTTTTTTAAAATCTGTTCGATGATTATTTGTAAATTATTTTTTAGACGTAAGGAGGAAAAGGAGGCTGAACCAAAGAATTACGGAAATTATTGATCTTTTGTTGAATGAACATTACCAATTAGATCACAGCCTATCAGAACTAATCAGTATCGTTCAACTTAAACAATAAACTGCATGATAATTTTGTGATTAATAATCATGATTATGATTAATTTAGCTAACTGAAAGGCATTGCATTACTCTTAGATGATTATAGTATGACATCAACATAACAGAAGTGAGGCGAGTCTAAAATTCTCTTGAACTATTATAATCACCAGCTAATTGGTTTCGTTTAAC